CAGTCATTTCCGCAATTAAGCGCAGTGAAGTATATCCATTTAGTGCTAGGATATTTTTAAACTCTTTTTGTATTTTTACTTTTAAAGCCTTTTCAGCTTCAGAGAACTCGTTAGCATTTTGCTCTGCTATATCCATGTTGGCCATGAATAGTAAAAAAAAAAACATAAATTCAGGCTACTTGTTATGGAATATACAGCCCATTTTACGACTATCAACCAATCTTCTCTTTCCCATAATTTTTATTACTTAGAGGGAGGGTTTTTATCCCCAAAATCACTCCTTGATACTCTCCTGTAATAAAATCTAAGATCTACATAAACTCTAAAAAAAATGTGGTCGTAGAAAAAGTATTGTGCAACATGGTGCGCAAATCACTTTTCTCACACGCTTGATTTGGCCATTGCGTTCAACTGAACGAATATAATTCATATCCACTCTACCTAGTAAGCACCCTGTACGGATATGAAATCCACCAATAACAGTTTTTATTTGGTTAATAGCCTACCATTATTATTTTAAGTTTAAAAAGTGATACTTTTGTCAAACTAATTGTCTCAGTATATTTTTAGTTGTTAAAATTAAATATAATATAAAATGAGAGATTCTTTTGGAAAATCGATAAATACCTAATAACATTTGTCTGTATTTTCAAATAAATTGCAACTTTCCATAAAATTATCTAAAATCGATTATTTAAGAATGGGTACTAGAAACAAAATATGCGAAAGATCAGGGGTTCAAATCCAGAGAGAAGACTAGTTAAATAAAATATTTTTTTAGTTTAATTTAGTTCATAAATTAGTAAAAGTCATAAAGTAGTTTTAAAATAGTTATTTTATCTTAATAAAAACTAATTTTTTAAAATTTGTAAATTTTCGTTAGTAGGTCGTAGAAAAAATATACTGTACAACTCGAATGGATTGTCCGTATAGCACTCCACCTTCGGCATCATGCTCAAACTTCGTCTTCGTGTGATATCGCCACCATATATATTATGTATATACACCCATTTTTGATGCACAAAAAAAATTGTACCCTAATACATAACATATTTTGTGCATGGTGTGTGTCTTGGTAACACAAAAAAAAATAGTATTAATGAAAAAATGTCTCATTTTAGTCACTGACGTTAATGCAAACACCCAATTTTTGACAGTTGTAGAAAAATACTAATTTATTTTAAATTAGTGACATATATTATTTTTCCTTGACATGTCTGGGAAAGAAAAGTTTGTTTTGAAACGGACTGCATAAAAAAACTACCAACTCTATGCTAAAACAATATTTATTGTTTCAACGTAGTAGGAAATTAAAAAAAAACCATTAAATTCGCAATATTGATTTAAAAACAATATTCAGAGTAAATTGAAAACTTCCCTGCTAAAGCAAATAAATTTAATGTTTTGAGGTTATGTTATACACATACACATCATATAACTGCGCGAGCGGCGCTAAACCACAATACGACAACTACGGCAAGTAGTAAGTGCCGTCGAAACCGTTAAATATTTAAATTTCTTGCAACATCGATCATTATAGATCAGCCCAAGTGTCGTTACCGCCAGTTTATAGTCGGTATGTGGAAGAGTCATAACACAACGCATGCGCTATGTGATGATATTTCCACGGACTTCCACTGGAATTCCACGGACTTCCACATACTTCAACTGGAATTCCATCAATGTGTACACCATAATTCCAAGGTGGTTTGCCCCTCGAATAAAACCAATAATTAATATATTCCACACATATGGACCACCATTGTGTTATTTACACTTGAAGTAGAACATTTTTCAATTAAAAGTTACTTGTGATCTTTTTCTCTAGAATTTTTATCATATACATAATTTTCCAAAAATGGTCCATATTCGTGAAATTTGACAAAAAGTGTAAAATTCGAATTTAAAAAAAAAATGTTTAAATAAATGTTGCTTGTGATGTCATTCTCTATAATTTTTGTCCCTTCTATGATTTTCCTAAAATAGATAGTATTCGAGATATTTGAGGAAAATTGCAAATTTTGAATTTGGAAATTACTCAAAAACGGACGAAGAGAAAAACACAAAATTTTAAACTTTGACCTTATTAAATCCTGCGGTGAGCTGATTAAATTTTGGGCATAGTCGAAGCTCTGGGGGGAGAGGGGGTACTTTATAGGGTGTCTTTTTTTTACTTTAAGGAATATCTATTGTTGTTTGTGATATCATTCTCTATAATTTTTGTTTTATACATGACGTAATAAAAACACACCCTGATTCATCCCTTTACCTTTAGAATAATAGTTGACAGGAGCAGTATTAGTATGAGTTTATTTAATTTAGGTAAATATGTTTTAATAGAGTTTATAAAGAGTGATCCACAATAGTAGTTTGTGCAACAAGAGTGAATATGGTGGACATATGTAATACGTACACTGCCATCTTATGAAAGACCCTCGTATCTCCAGAAAACATGATTTCGAGGAAAACGTTGTTTAACACATTTTGTTTGGCCGCTAAGCTATATACAGGGAAATAATTTTTATGATAAATTTAGGCAAAAAAAGGCAAATACGATTTTTTTTTTTTTTTAGTAAAATGGTAGTTTATACTACCAGAAACATGTATATGGTAATATTTTTTTGTTCAATTTTTGGAGATACGGGGGCTTTTCATATGACGGCAGTAGGTACAATCTACTCAAGTTGTACAGTATATTTTTTTACGACCCACTAACGAAAATTTACAAAATTTTAAAAAAGATAATTAAGATAAAATGACTATTTTAAAAATAATTGATGACTTTTATTAATTTATTAAATAAAATTAACTTTAAAAAACAAAAAAAAATATTTTTTTTAATTTACGATATACCTATTTGTAAATATACTCGAATATCTTCACAAGAATAATTTATTTTTAATTAAATTTAATCTCAATAAAAGAATTGTGACATTTAAAATATTAAAAAAAGTAAATTTTCACGTTTTTTCACGTCTTATACAAACTTTAGTTTTTTTTTCTTGTATGACTCATACATGTCCTATACAAAAACACACAGCTAATGTTTTTTTTACTGGAAACCAACTGGAAAGCCATACATTGTCGTAAAAATCCATACGGAAATCGCCGCAATCAGTACGGAAATCGCCGCAGTCAATACATAAAACAGCGCAATCACGAGGTAAATCTATTAAAGTCATGTGGAAATCACCGCAGTAACTATGAATCTGTAGAAGTCACATAGAAATCACCGCAGTACCAGAAATCACCATATGATTGCGGAAATCAGGTGAATTCGGCAATACATGTACATTTTTACAAAGAGCGGTTCGCCCCTCGTATATAACAATAAAAAATTCCTTTGCAAGCATTTTCTGTTGTCCGGTTTTGCTACTTCCGGTGTAGGCCACGTGACCGGATATTTATGTTTTTCAATGAAATTCGGGATATAGCTTAAACGCGGTATTTCTGAACTTAAAATGGCATTGGAAGCATTTTTACTTTCCTATCTGTATACAGATATAAGGAAAGTATAGGAATCATGATTTTTTTCGACCTCGAGTTTTCGACGGATTTTCGCGATGATGTCTGTGTGTCTGTGTGTCTGTGTGTGTCTGTGTGTCGCATAACTCATGAACCGATATGCAGAAAAACACCAAATTTTAAACTTAAGCTTTGTTCCAGCGTCCAATGAACTGATTAGATTTTGGGTAGAGTCGGAACATCTGGGGGGGGGGTACTTTATGGGTGGTCATTTTTATATTTTATGGAATATATTGTTATTTACATTTGGAGACGAAAATTTTTCAAATAAAAGTTACTCCTAATATTATTATCCATAATTTTTGTTCTATACAAAATTTTCCTAAAACGGTCCGTATTCGAGAAATTTGACAAAATGTAAAAAAAATATTTTTTTATAAAAATTGTTCAAATAAAAGTTGTTTGTAATATAATTCTCTATAAGTTTTATCCTATACATAATTTCTCTAAAATGGACCGTATTCGAGATATTTGAAGAAATGTGTAAATTTCGAATTTTGAAGAAAACTCAAAAACGGATAAAGAAAAAAACATTAAATTTTAAACTTAAGTTTTATTTCGGCCTGACGTGAAATGATTAGATTTTGGACAAAGTCGGAACATCTGGGGGGTACTTTATGGGAGGCCGTTTTTATATTTTATGGAATATATCTGTTATTTATGTTTGGAGAAGAAAATTGTTCAAATAAAAGTTACTTCTAATATTATTATCTATAATTTTTGTTTTATGTCAAAATTTCCTGAAATGGTCCGTATTCGAGAAATTTGACAAAATGTGCAAAATTCTGATTTTTATGAAAATTGTTGAACTAAAAGTTGTTTGCGATATCGATCTCTATAATTTTTGTTTATACATAATTTTTCTAAAATGGACCGTAATAGAAAAATTGTAGGAAAAGTGCTAAATTTAAATTTTTCATTATTTTCGTTTTCAATGAATATCTATAGAAAAATGTTTCGAGGTAGAAGTATGTGGCCAATGTATATATTTAGTTTATCCTCTAAACATTTATAGAGATGCTGCAATAGGTTGTACAAAATAACCGGAAAAAGCCTATAATAACTAGATAGGAAAGTCATGTATTGGACACATCAGATTTTTTGTGTTTGTAATATGAAATGTGACGTGTAAGTTATCTAGTATCTACCTATATCTTAACCTATATATAGTTCTGTCTCATCACTCATCAAACTATCAAAATGAGTAATTTTGTCAATAAAACTTGTATTTATAACAGGAGTTAAAGACTTGTTTGTATTCTAAGGAGTGAACTATAGCTTATTGTTTGTAAACAAAGTGTGAAAAATTAGTATCCTTATTGACACAGATTCTTCTTATAAATATGATTAGGTAGGTACACAGTTTTAGGTTATTTTTAAGATATTTAGGTACCTAGGTACATTACATAGATATGTTTACATATAATTTAAGTTACCTTTTATAAAAATAAAGATATATTTAAAAAATAACTTACCTAAGGAACATAAAGTTAATAAAGCCAGACGAAACACTATTTTGTTCATTATTGACTAACACTTGTGAACACCAAAACCTCATAAAGAACGAACTATCCAAGAGTCTTCATATAACCATTTTGATCTTCAACATGTTTTTATGTTGAAGATCCTCAATTGCATTAGATAATTATCTAGGTAAGTACAAGAAATTTTAGAGCAAAAGTTCAACTACTACCGGTTCAAAATAAAAATATCCGTATTGTCCCTAATTCACATTTTCCCAATATTATTTCAATTAAATTTTATTTAATCACATTTACTAGTAATTAACTGTTCATATCACACCGTTTACAAGTTTTACCGAGGGTGTACCAGCACAAATTCGCCAATCACAAAATATTTACACAATCATAAACACACACAAAGCTTTGACATTATGGATATGGGAAATATGGAATGACAAGAGAAGGCGAGGAATTAAAAACCCAACCGGGTAGGCAGCCTAAATGTAGGCAACACAAATTACGCTGCGCGGCGATGCCAAATTGAAGCTTTATAACAACAGGCTATTGAAATGGGAGGACCTTCAGACAACAGGGTGCGGGTAAAATGAACTAGTTTAGGAATAAAATGATTAAACCAAGATTCATTTGAATACTTATGAAAAATTTATATGTGGAATTGTAATAAAATTTGCTTTTAGTATTTTACGAACCTTTAAATACCTATATTCGCGATTCAAACTAATTTCTACGCCTTCTGTAAAATGTGTCTATAAGTAGGACTTTGTTGAGTGTTTCCAAAAGTAACGGAAATTTGGTAATGTTGTAATTGACGGGTCTAGAAATGCGCATATTCACATCACTCTGCATTGACGTCTAGAATTTGAATTTGCTCAAGCCACTTTGCCAAATCTCCACTTTAATTTTAGCTTGCTTTATTTCATAGTTTATTATTTAGACAAATTGTAACCTCTGTAAATTAAAATGTATGATAAATAAATATAAAGATTTATATTATATTTTGAAATAACAATTCTGTTTTGTTTTATAAGACAGTTTTGATAGATTTTAAATTAAAATTTTGTAATTATCACTATTGAAAGATATTATTGACATTAAAAATAACGATCGTATTAACTTGGGGATGGGATTTTTAATCGATGTAAAAATTGGTAAATAGATGATTAAAAGTAAAATAGTTATTTCAATCTGCTTATTCCCTGGTTTCAAATAATTAAATATAACCTGGCAACTATGTAACGATTCCAACTGACAGAACTAGCCGGAACAGCAATGGGGCGGACTGGCACATTTCCAGACCCTTCAACTACAACATTACCTTTATACATGGGCGAAGTTATGTCATCAGATCTGGGGGGGCTAAAGCCCTAGCCCTAGTCATATAATATATAATAGTTCTAGAGGTATACCTACTGAAGTTAAGTAAAAAAATTCTGGCGAATCTATGAAAATGGATAAAATATCATATATCGATTCTAAACAAAGTTTTGCAAAATTTCAATATTGTGAATTTGTAGATATCCATTTATGGTAAAAAAATTAAATTTTACGACTTGCACTTGGAAAATAATGAATACTTGAATTTTGATTTTGACATTAACACCATATAGATAGCAATTTGCTGGGGACTTTTTCGCAGATTTCATTTTTAACATAAACACTATCACATACTATAAGAAATAAACAAATTTAAAGCTAAAAAGTAAGAAAAACTCGAATTGTAATTGATACAAATTAAAATGTAAACAATGAACTCGTTGCCAAATGATGAACTGATTTTAAAACAAAATTAATAAATGAACTGAAATTAAAAAAAAAATTAATATAATAAATCGGTTTTATAAAAAAAGTCCTTAAATAAATATAGAGTATGATTACATATTACTATACACAAATTTTGATTCTTAAATAAAAGGTCTTATCCACTTCTTCAAGAGCTAAAATCCGACGACGTAGCGAAATTTTGCTACTTCTGGCAACAATGAATGATATCCTACTTATAGGGACCTTCTACAAATTTCCTCCAGAGGGCGTATCACTGAGCTTGAATCGAGAATAAAGATCCTTCCAATTATATCTTGCTCAAGGAAGTGTAGGATTTGGAGTGGCTTCAAGTTAGGTAAATCTCCCTCTTCTATTTGATATGCTCATAGGTATAGTGCCCTTGGATTCTGAAGTGCTACACATTTAGTTAGAATGTGAATGAAGATTTTTTCCTCCTCCTCACAAAATCTGTACTATCTTCTACTACTCTCAGTTTACTAAGGAGTAATTTTAGTTGGCAATGTCCAGTAAGGATCCCTGTTACAAGTGTTCTCACTACTAGAAAAATGTATATTATGATAACAGCTTAAAATACAATCTGGCTAATGTGGAACACCCCGAAAGCCTTGCCAGACTCGTCTAAGGCAATCTCTTATTGAAATTTGCAATATCTCATTGTAATCCTTGTTTTAGACTAATTAACTCGTATTATAAATTTTAGCTACATTTACTTATTACCTGTTTATTTATGTGATCAAAAGAAGCCATTAATAAATTTATTGACATATTCACTTGAAACAAAGCAGAGAAGTTTGTGTGTACATGCACTGTGTAGGAATGGCACCCGGCACAGTGGCCATTGTGCCGGACACAACCAATTGTGATACGAAAACTTTTAAAAGTAGTTTCGCTGTCGGCTGCAGTTTCGGCCAGTTTTCCGCCGAAACCGAAACTGTAGTCGAAACTATTATTTAAAGCCAAAGTTGGCCGAAACCGTAACCGAACCTTCGGTCGGACACTACTTGTGAGTCTGGCAGGCCTCCGTAATTGTAATTGTCAGCCAGACGTGTATTTTCACTTACGAATATTTTGAAATTTATCCTAAGTAGATGGATAATGTTCTTAAAATATGCGTGAGTGTGCAAAAATTTACTGATAATAATTTAGGCACGTTTGGTATTGGGTAAGAAAGCTTTACACCAAATTATCCAAATTTCAAAACTTGACAGACATGCATTAAAACGACTAAAATCAAATTTTCAAAGGTTCTGAAAGTTACTTTGCCATACCACAGAATATAAAACATATGTTTTATATGCTGTGGCCATACCATGACCATTTGTCATATTTGAAGTCGTTTAGTTGACGCGAAAAACCTAATTATTATTTTACATAAAATAAATGTAGTGTATTTCTACCTAGTTATAATTGGTATTAAATAAAATATTAACCACTGAAACGGCAAATTTTTTATATGCATGAAAGAGCTGCTCAACTGTCAAAAAAAAATTCAGTATAATTTCGTTCAGGGTACCTACCCACCAAAAGAAAAATTTCCGGAAATTTTTCTGGTTGTCATGAAAGTGTTTTAAAATAAAAGCAGTTGATTGGCTATAAAATTGAGGTGTAAAATTTATAATTTAATCTATCACGTGACAAATTTTCAAACCCGGGAAAATAGAAGCAAAAATATTATATTTTTTTTCATTTAGAAGATATTACCAGACTCATTAGCCAATTTCGTAAATCAGCCAGACTTATTATTATAAACAGTTCATGATTGTATCAATTTATATGCTCAATTTTCTGCCACACTCACTTTCCACTATCTGAGATAATCCAAACTGCCATTTTTATAAGCTTTATGTTCTAGTTTAGTAAATGTAAAATAGTTATGACTGGGAAAATAAGTGTCAGACTCAAAAATTTTGTTTTTTGTCACTAACAGAACAGTTTATTTTTCATATACACCGACTGGAAAAATGAATACGAAAAAAATTCACTGCCTCCTGAACTAAATGTAAAATTGCAGAATCAAATGGCACGATTCTTTTTATTTTTTAATTTCTGTTCTGAAATCTGAAATGTTTGGGTGGATGTGCGATAAATGTTCGAATTATTTTTGGGGGGGCTAATTTGGTTTTTGGGGGGGCTTAGCCCCCCCAAGCCCCCCCTTAACTTCGCCCATGCCTTTATACAGTGTGTGTCATGCAGAGCTGGGTAATTACATGTACTTTAAAAATAATTACAATTACAAAGTACTTTTTCAAAAACAGAATTGATTACAAGTACAAAGTACTTTTATATTTTACCTAATCTGAATTTTTGTTTTGTTTTAATTAAATATTATGAGGTTGTAAATAAAAGAAATAGGATAGGAAGAAATAAGTTAGCCATTTTGATCAATTATGAATAATTTTGGCAGAAAAAATTTCAAAATTCAAAAATCTCTATTTTTTAACAAATCAAGTCTGATAGATCAATGAAATTAGTTATTTAGGGAGAATCTAAAATTGTAATAAAATACAAAGTGTGCCAAAAAACTTTGATACGTCACATTTTTTGGGACATACTAAATTCATCTCAGGCGGAGAGCGTAAAAATGGGGGAGATAATTCTAACAAACAGTTAAGAACTACGCTCACATACGGGAATCAATTAATAGAAATGGGAAGGTGAGAATATCAGCTTCACTTCGGTCTGGGTATTAATGTTCAAAAAATGAACAGCGGAGAACAAGAAGTATTTAAAAAAAAAGTCCGGTTTTCCCCGGTGTGATCAATTTTTCCGATTTCTGGAAAATGGAGCAACTTTATTAAAAAAAAAAAAAAATACATTCGAAAAGTAGACACTCCAAGCTTTAAAATGGTGTGCATTGAATAACAATATAATGAAATATGATTTTTTAATTACTGCTTGTTTCAAAGATTTCTAGAACTCTGAAAACGTATGAAAAATGCAAATAAACAAATCAATTTTGTTTTAAAACGCCAGGAAGATACTGGAAAAAAAATTCTGAGATCATTCGAGACATCTCAAGATCCCATTTAAAACAAAAATGGGATAAAAAACTATTAAAAGAAAAAAAAATATGAATGAATTACTATAAAGTGGTCCAAAATAGTGGGAAAACGCAACTTTGACCCCTTTTTCAATGTTCTTGACAGGAAATAACGGGCTTCAAGGCACATGGATCGATACATATGGATTTTTCCATTGTAATGAACTTTGAATCATCGAAAAATATCAATTTTTGACCGAGTTCTGAAACAATTTGTCCACCCGTTTACAAGCTAATCAGCATTGCTATAGAGATAAAGCAGGGGCTGAACGAGGGGACTTTTGATTGCGGTTATCTCGAAACCTGTCGAATTCCCGACAAAAATGATAGGGACCATTTTTGTAGATAATGATAAGATCTTTCTTTTTTATCTAAACAAAAATTCTCTAATTTGCATATTATGGAAGATATTGGCGGGAAGCCAGTTTTAAGGTCCATTTTGGGCCCTTTCCGATGCAGCAGAGTTGGTAAAAGTTTTCGACCTTGGAAGCAACCGCCGAGACCTAAGAGTTGAGCCACAACGGAAATCTGGACCGACTTAATGACAGGTTGGTCCCTTCAGTTACTGGACTATACCTATTTAAAATTAAGGTGTTGGAGAAATGCAAGGGAGGGGGTTGACACATGACAGATGTCTAAAATATTTTTAATTT